TCTCTCTTAATGTTGACCTCTATTCCTGTAGCTGCGTTTGATTTCTGACAGGCTTTTCATGACCCCATGCGGCAGCACAGTCCCAAATTAATAAGGATCTGTGTTGACAGCTGCTTCAAAAGCTTCTGGCCTCTTTCAGGGATTTTTTTCTTTTCCCCCTTGTGCGCAGGGCGTTGGATGCAGGCGCCCTGGTATTTCTTCTGGTGTTTGCTTTCTGTGCTGTTCTGGTCCCTGGTGCTCGGTGAATCTGTGGGTTTTGCTTTCTTTTGCAAATTAACGGCTGCAAGGATAGTTTCTTATTTACTGTTGATGTGTGGCTACTTGAATGATTGAAAAGGAAATGTCTTCTGCTGTGTCCTACCCCGGAAGGCTGTGTCGTGGTCTCTGCTTGGATCTGTTGTGCATTAAAAATGGTATTGAAACCGTATCTCAAGGTGCACACGTTGCATTCTAGGCATCATAACAGTATTTATTAATTATTTGCTCCTTATTTCTTTGCTAAACGTTAGCTGAGGTTTTGTACTCTGTGCTGTTGTTATTGCGGTAGTGTCAAAGTTTCACCATTGTGGTGCTTCCACAAATTACTTTTGAGAATTTGCACACCATCTGCGTGCAATAATAAAGCTTTTAGCAACTCCAGATTGTCGTGCTCCTGGTGGGGAGTGTGGATGAAAGCCAGCCCAATGAATTAAGGTCATGTCCCTACTGGGGACAGAAAGCAAACTCTAGGTAAAACGATCTAGACAATCCCTTTGAGAGGCATCTGTTCCTGGTAGGACTTTGGCAATCATGGCTACGGCTGTTAATCTTCAGGCTTCCAGCCACAGGAAGGTAGGAGGAGAGACATGGGGACTCGCTCCAGGCGTTAGTGGACACCTGCAGGAAAAATGCTTCCTTTTTCTAACAGTCATAGGTGGATGGAAAGTATTGTTGGGTAGAAAACTTGTAAAGCGAGCCACACGAGTTTAAAAAAAAAAAATCACAATACAAAGCAAAATAGACAATTGCCACTTCTCAGACATGGTTTTTAAAAAGGATTAATACAACTACTGAATCTCTCAGATCAGTGGCAATCTCTCAGTGGAGAAGTACTTCATAATACCAAAATTTTAAGAACCTGACACTTAAAATATTGAGGAGAAAATAAAAGCTTTTGCATATAGGTCTGTGTCAGAGGAAATAACATTGAAAGGAAAAAACCATGAACTGTTGTATCAGATAAATGCACTATATTAAGAAAATTACGACGTGAGAGGGACATCTTGTGGCACAAAAAAAAAAAAAAAAAAAATTAAAAGTCCAGTGGCAGGAGGAGTATCCTGGGATGTTGCCCCGGGGTCACCATTTCTGGTAGAAATCGTAGGCCTGGTAAGAGATTAATTTGTTCCAGTTTTTCTTATAGCAGGACTCTTGCTACCCACTTTCTTATCTTCCCACTTTTTGTCTCCATGAGCAGAGAATTACATTACACAGAAGTTCTACCAAATATACTCCTCGGTAGTGGTGCAAATGATGCTAGTTTTTCATGAACAAATACATTAAAATGTCACTGCCATTATTTGACGGAATGCATTGCTTCGTCAGTGGGATAAAATGTAACAGTAGCGTAGCTGTGGGTGGCTAACATTTATTTTCCACTTGTATCGCAATCAAATTTCCACACGCTCGTAAAAATTAAGAGGAATACATTTAATTTTCAGGAATAAAAGAGGCCACAATTGTGTATGATCAACTGAAATCAAACCTAACACACATCTGTGAATCACGGTGTAAGAAGTATGACGTAGTCTTGCTGTCACTGTGCCTGAACCTCTGGATCCTTTGTTTGATTGGTTTTGATCACGTGGTGATAAAGGTTTAATTATCTCTTACAAGCAGTAGTTTTCCCAAGAGTTCTCGTTGTAACTTTGAATGATTTCTTGAATACCTTTTAGTAGTCTTAGATGAGGTCGTAGTGTGTGTAGAGCGGGAGAAGTCTCTACAACACAGAAGCATTTTCAGTCTCTCGGAGACCTCAGCCGTACGTTTCCGTGTCTTGTAGAGTGGTTCTTCTCAGCGGACTGGTTGTGCACTTGCCCACAGTGCCGGGGTAACGGGTAGGTGGATCTCCAGCCCAGTTAGCTGCTGGTTGCCATTTACACCCTTTGTTGACCACTTTGGTCCGGCTTCTGGGGCAGGGGTGCTTGAGAGGATGGACTTGAGGTGGTGCTGGTTTGGGCATGGGTGTGTTACGCAGGCAGGAGTAAGTTGGCACAAACTTCGAACAGAGCTATTCCTCTCAGCTTTGGAGAAACAATAGAATGTCAGTTAAAGGAAAGAACAGCTCGCGCTCTCCTGCAGGAGTACCTGTCAGCTGGATAGGAGCTAAGAGTCTACTTGCAATAAAAATCTAAACGCTGAAGAGTTTTTGATGGTGCGTCTTTTGTTTTGAAATTTCAGCAACCAGATGTTGTTTTGGTCAGTCTCACAATTTCCAGTACTACCTTGTTTTTATATATCTGAGAGATATTTAAAGTTCAATGTATGTTCTTTTCTAAGGATGTTTATAATGTGTCTATTCATGCCTAAGGATCCAGAAATACTATTTGAATCAATTGGTATGTAAATCATTCTCTGCTTTGGAAAGACAGGAGATCATTTCTGCGGCAGTAATTCAATCATAGCTTGTTTTTTGTATAACTACAATACCCTTGCCTAAATTTAATTCAAAGTTTATGTTTCCTAGCTACAGTTCTTCAATTGCCACGAGTAGAAACACCATAAATTATAATAAAAATGAAGGACAATAGTAAAGGGATCTTTTGGGGAGTAAAGATAGGGCGGAAAAAACAAGTTTTTGTTTTCAGGCTTTTGCACAAGACTAACTAAAAATCTGCCAAGTCATGCTGTTGTCCAGCATAGATTTTTGACCAATACGAGCGTTAGCGTAAAATGGTTTTTCTTCTACTTCCAGGTCAGCTAAAATCCCCAGCACTGCAGCGTGATTGCTGTGAGATCTGTCCCTTTGGCTGCAGTTCATTTTCCATTAGGTATCCTGCAGAATAACAAACATTTAGCTCAGGTTAACCAAAACCTTGGGCTTGTTGGTTTCGGTTGAATTCAGTGTGTGGGCCTGTGCCCCTAAGGATGCCAGTTGCACACCTCCTTGTTTGACAAAAGGACTTGAATTGTTGAAGAGCCTCTCTCCCGTCTCGTACTGGTTTGATCAGTTCAAAGACCAATTCCCGTAGCGCTGGGCCTGTCCTGAGTCGTGGCAGTGCTGCAGTGTGGTATCCGCATCGGAGAATGAGCTTCCACATACCATGGGAATGTGTTTTCCAGTATGTCAAGTGAGTAAAACGCTCTTGACAGACAACAAGATACGAGTATCCGGTGATGACATCTTCGCCTTGTATGCATTGAAGAGGTTTTTCTGGTTAAATATGCGTGATGGTATTCGCTTATGGTGTGAATACAAGTGCAAGTGCTGTGTTGTGAATCTCTTGTGTGTTTGCTCTCTGGAACGTCATTGGGTTTTCTCCGTTTGTCTAGTTTGGTGTAGGTTTTCTGGGGGACTGTCAGGGATAGCGACGCCTTTGGGTTTTGTGTGCAGGAGGTGCTCACCGACCTGGGACAACACCTGCATCGCTGGTGGGACACGGTTCTCGGCTTTGCCCTTGGTTTCAAGTGTCTCCTAAGCAACCCAAACTACACCTAGGAAAGACACGTTCGTGCCAGCGTAAGCGTTTACCCAAAAGGGCTTGGATGGAAAAGCCTTAAATTCCGACTAAACGTTTGAATGCACCTCCTCGCTTGGCCGGCTGCCATGTGCGGTGGGGAGAGGAGGAGCAGGGGTGTGCGGCGGGTGTCCGTCCGTCGGTGGCGGGAGCAGGCCGTGGGTGCGTGTCGGTCCGCAGGACGGGGCTGTGCGGCGCGGGTGGGACGCGCCACTTTCCCCCGCGGGCTGCGGGGTCGCGCCGGGTGAGGCACCTACCGCCATCGGCCGCTCGGGGCATCGGCTTTCGGGGGGG